TCCTGAATGTAATCCAAAGATGTAATTAGCTTGTGCCAGTATCATTTGTGAGTGGAGGATGTCGTACTCTAAGATGACCCCAAAAGCTTTCATTAGCCTAACTGGGAACAGGATCACAATTCACCTGCTGCTCTTGCTTCTTGCCATTTCTTACTTTCAGCCACCAGCTCCCTGAGACCCTAATCCTCTGTTTGATGGTAGAATGGGATTTGATTTCCGTGGGACGAAGGAGGAGTCTCCAGGTCTTAAAAGATCTGTCTGTTAAATAAATGTGCTTAATAACAAAAAGTGGAGGAGGAGAATCTACAAAGCACATAGGTAAACAAGCTCTGTGGGTATTCGGAGAGGTGAGAATGGGGATTTTAACTCCAGCAAAACTGTAACAGCAGTTTTCTTCCCCTGAGTTTGCGGGCAAGAAGTGGAACCTTTCATTGTGCTTGCCCCTCTTTAGCAGCATCAGAGGAGCACTTCCCGAGCGCTTTGGGGGTTTCCCCCCTTTGGAGCGGAGTTTGGCAGGTGAGAGTTCGGGTTGAGCTGGAAAGCACTTGGTCTGGCTCCGCATGGCAGCCTTCATCGCTCAGCTCCCGCGCCTCCTGAATTGGCACGTGACCCTTTCTGCCCTGCACCGAAAACTGGAGGTATTGAGTCCAGGGGCCCATGGGGATGAGGGGATTGGATGAACGTGCTTTCTTGCTCACCCTGGGGAGACTGCAACACCTAGCGCTGAGTTCTGGAAAGCAAGGAGACTCTGGGCTAGTCTTGTGGGAGAGAAGGAAGAGGAGCGTTGTTTTGGTGTGCAAACGCCGCTGTCAGCCTTGGTGTTTCTGTACCAATATGCCGTGGGTATTCGCCCCACTCCCCAAGTCCTCCCAGTCTTCTGCAGTCTCAGGAAGTGATTTTTCCAGACTTTATCCCTCCGGAATTGCTGACTTGCCAGGCAGAAGCAAAGCATCCGCAGGGGATCTAACTCCCAATGGCACACAGCAACCATCTGCGGCATTGACATCTCAGCTGTACGGGGAGTGGTGTGGTGCTGTTGGCACTACCATCATGTGGGCACAGTTCTCATCGGTCATTCGAAAAAGAGACCTCTGGTGTGTTTGAACGTTAAGAAGTCACTGTTCTACATCACAGGTTGAGGGTCAACCAGCTGAGTTGTATAAAAATTATACTCGGTGAATATAAATTTACGGGCAAGAGTTGCATCCGGTACCAAGTAGGGCATTGCAGTACAAATCACTTGACTCTTGAGAGCTGCTGTACCAAAACGGATAAGCTTTTGTTTTCTTCCTGCTGTCACTGGTCATAACAGCTAGCCAGCAGTAGAGCAGGCAGAGACTAGATACCCCTCTTGACCCTGTTTCTGGGCGCTGGTTGAGTGCCCAGAACAAACTTCCTCTTTCCATGACTTCAGACCTTCCTAGGTATTAATTTCATCCTGTATCTATTGCAATACAAATGTGGAACCATGGACTCGGATTTACTCAAGTAAGTAAAATAGTTAATTACTTTTTTTTTTTTAATGGCTGATGATCTAGACTTTAAAAATAGCTTTTTTTTTTTTTTTAGTCTGGGCACAAATCTTGATAATTTGGTTGTTAAGTTATTAAACTACTTGCTATATTTTATCATGGCTACTGGTAAGTTACAGCATCCTGTCTGCAGTGTCAGAGTTCTCAGATTAACCTGTGCTTGCTCAGGACTTTGGAAACTTGCATAGCAGAAGGTTGCATGAAGTTACTAGTATCAACGAAGTTCTCAACAGTGGGTGTTTCTCGCGTATACTTTGCAGACTTCGAAGGTTGTGGTGACCGTGACGTAGATGCCATTTTTATATCGTAGCCCTCTCTATCCTATTGTGTTTATACACCATATAACTTAGAGAATATCAGGAAAACGAAGACTTTTTCTCTGAAGATACTGTTTTAAATCCAGCTCAACCAAGCTTTGAATTTATTTGTGATTGTTGGCTAACTAGTGACCAGCGTGAGTTGCCCGCATTTCAAGTACTTGGAAGTCCTCGTTATTAACGGCATTAGTTCTTGACTGACTCGGGAGGTGGTTTTGGTGAAGCTATGGAGATTGTCAGGTCTCTGCCTCCGCACGTGGGGCGTGAAGTACCACGTGTGAGCACCAACACTGCATTCAGCTGAAATGGCAGAGGTTAAATACTGACTATGTTTTAAGCTCCTATTTAACAATGATTGGCTTGCTAAAAGTAAGGAAAGGAAGAGATTTGTAATGAATAATTCTTTATCGTAACAAGGAAAGTAGAGAGTTGTCTTAAAACATTGAAAGAACGTTTCTATTCTCTTCCTATTCTATTGCTAAAAGTCCCAAATGTTTTGTATTATTACCTTTTGGTTTAATCACACTCTGATAAATGTTTAGCATCTAAAACCATCTTCTTAGGGTTGATATTTTAAATTGGATGGGTATTTCTTAAAAGGGTTTTGGGTCTGTAACACCTGACAAACAGGTCAATGTTTCTTAAGCCGATTAGAAGGGGGAAAGGTAAAAAAGTTAACGCAAGGAAGATGTGCCTTTGACAGCAAGTAAACTCAAATGAGGACACAAGACAGTTGAGGAGGAACAGAGCATGCAGAAAAGAGGAACCGCAAATGTTTGTAGCCTCGAGCAAATCAACGTGTGAAGGCAAATCTCTCGTGGCCAACCCTGCAACTGATGCTGGTGTATTGCTCCCTTCTGAGCAGACCTCAGTGAAAACAAGTAGGGTAACTGTCCTCCAACAAATGTCAGGACACAGTCTGTATTAGGTGTAAGGTGCACTGTCATGCAAAACTGTTCAGAGAAACTGTTTTCAGTTCAAAAAAAAAAAAGGCAGAAATTACAGTAAGGAAAAAGGGACATGGGTGTTTATAGATGAAACGTGCAGAGGCGGAAAATACATAATAAAGGCCACTAAATTTGTATTTTTAAGAGGCAATCTCATCCCTCAATTAATCCCACCAGCAAAAAAAAAAAAATCTGCGGATAAAACAAAAGAGGTGTAAAACTGTCGCAACTGTTTGTATTTATTCTGCGCTTTATGTTGCCTTTCATTTCAGGAGAAGAAAGGGAAGTTATGAGAAACTCACGGTATTACCTGGAGTCTAATGGAAGAAAACCAGTGAATGATGGAGAGTTGCTTGTTTATTTTCATGGGTTAAATATTAAAACAGTTAACTTTTCAGGCCGATGTCTGCACTTAGTATATTTACTTGTTCAAATGTAATGATGTGTTTTCAGCAAAGGTGAATTTAGCCAGGTATTTTTGTGTTTGAGAGAACCAAATGCGTTGCAGTGCAAAATGGGAATTCTCTGACAGACATAATTTAAATCTTATCGGTCGATTTGGGACTATTTAGCTATGCTGGGTTTTGAATGTTTAATAAAAGCACAGCTACAGGCTTGACAACTGTTCAGTTTTGGACTTCAGATTTTTACTTAGTGATTTTTGTTAACTAACAGAATACCTTTACCTTGCAAGTATGTTTATATGTACTTGAACATACTATTATACAGTTGGGTTTTTTTGCTAGCAGCTGGAATCATATTATGCTTATTTTTAATATACGTTATTACAGTGTTATACTATAGTAGGACTATTTCTCGTGTATAAACAGGCAGTTCTTCAAGACTAGTTTTTAGGAAAAATGTCATATGGAGTTTCTTGTAGCGCAGTTCTTGTATAAATGATGCAGTTTGGTTGTGTAACTACAGTAGTTGCAATAAAACTTGAGAAAAATATTTTTTCTTTGTCTTAGTTGCCTTTATTTGAATAATTTGCTAAGACAGTGTAGTTGTGAGAGGCAAGCAGGATGAACCTGTCTACGATAAAGCATTGAACATTCAAAGGCTTAAAGAATACCTTTGGAAAACAGGCATTTTGGTTATTCACTACACAGTACTGAAACAGTTTTAAAATCATAATTTTTAATGCTATATGGTACATAAGCCAAGATTTTCAAAGGCTCCTTAGTGAAAGCCAAAAGGTTAAGGGAATATACATTTAAAGTACATGCAACAGGAGGTTTGAGGGGATTGCTGGGTTTTTGTTTTGTTGTTGTTTGTTTTTTATGAATATACTGTTACCTTTAATCGGGTAATTTTGCATCTATTTCATCACATTGTAATAGGAGCTGTCACATTACCAAGCTGGATGATTTTTTTCCTGCACTCGGGAGAAAAATTTATATTAAATCCTGATGTATATGGTTAATGTTGTGAACCATATTTGTTAATCTGTTGCTGATTACTGTGCTAAATGAGTTATTTTCCTGACAGCCTGTCTATACAGTTTTACTCTGCTCAGTGATATCAACCAAAATTTTCACTGTCACTTTAGTACTATAGATTTCCTGCAGCAGATACGATGCAAATGCCACAGAAACCATTGTTGCAGCTGGTACTAATTGGCCTTTCCCAACTTATCTTAATGGAGAATCAATATTGAGTGAGCAATAAAACCACACTGGCTCATCCAAAAATAATAGTTGCATGTTGTTCCTAGAGCGCTCACGGAGCGGCAGGGCATGGGAAAGCGCGCTGCCTGTGAGCTGTCCATTTTTGCTTTAGCGGTCACAATATTCCTGTATACTCAAAGGTATTTTGAAAAAATCCATTATTTTCCTGGATGTGTTTCTTTATTAAGACAAAAGCTCTGAAACAGTTATTTCAAGTTTAGGCCTCCCAACAATGCGGTTTTCATACCAGCTGCTTACCCACATACTGCCCTGCTCACAGCCATTTGTTTCTGCTGTGACATCCCACGGCTGCTGTCGGAAGAGGTAATCTGAGGCCAGATGCTCTAATGAGAGAGCCCCGATGGCACGTGGCATTGCTGTAACAGAAACCTGCCCGGTCTTGATGAAATAACCTGTAACCTTATTGAGCAGATCCGGTGCAACGGTGCTTCCAGTCATGCTTTCAAACGAGGCTTAGCAACAGATTTAGGATAAGGTTAGTGCTGTTGCTTGTTTGCTTGGTTTGGGGTGGGGTTTTTTTTGTTTTTTTTTTTGCTTGCTTGCTTGCTTTTTGTTTTTTTCCTGTTTTAACTAGGTAACCAACGGTAAACTGAAGTGGCTTCATACTGCACTTGCTACTACTGCAAATCTCCTAACAGTGCGATGGCTCACTTGGGTTGTAACTGGGGTGGAAGTTGAGGCGGTCGGAGGAGGTGATGAGGTTGTCGGGGCCGGTCACGTGGCTTTTCTCAAGGTAGGTGTTGAGCCCGTTATCTCTGTACATACCAAATGATCCCAGAGTATTTGAGAATGCATGTGAGGTGATGAAATAGGAGGTCTGTGGGAAGGAGAAACAGGGAGAAAGGAGATGTCTTAAATGCCCGTAATAAATAGCACCTGCACTTTACAGAAGTCAGGAAAAAATAGTAAGGGTACTTTATCTTAATGCACTTTGAGGAATTCATTGTCACAGGATATTGCAGAGGCCAGAAATAGGGGATCAGGATGGTTCAGAACCGCTGTATTAGCGGCTGAGCTACGCTCTGAAAAGGGAAGAGGAGTTTGATCTGTTTATCAACCTTCTGCATTGGCCACTGCCTTAGAATGAAAGCCAATCCCTCAAACCTGCCAGTCTAAATTCGAGTCCAAAGCCATTCTCCCAATTGCTTTTCCTCTGTAGAATAAATGTGGAGGAATTAACCTATAAATACTTTGTACTTTCTGTAATAGCATTCAGCAAAAGTCACACAAAGAACTGTTCTTTGGCCTTTTATGTGGAGGAAAAGAGATTTTTTCATGTTAAACATAACCCCTGTACTCCCATCACGTTCCAGGATAAGACCGAGAAGATGGAAACTGTACTAATAACCATATTTTTCTTGTCTGTCTTATCCTGTCATGAAAAACCTGCTCAGAGACACTGGAGCATCCGCTAAGCCCCTGCTTTTTTTCCTCCAGCATGCTTGTGCCAAAAGCAAGAAATAACTTTGCACAGAAGGGTAACTTCATAGCCGGCATGTACGCATAAAATTTTTAATTGCTACAGCAATTAGTGGAGATTTAGTGTTACCAGGATGGTGGTGTTTAGCTTATAAAGATGTAAGAAAAGAGGAGCAATCATGGAAAACGTTAAGGACACTCAAACTGCAGCAGTAACTAAAGTAAATGTCAAAGAAAAGACCGACAGATGCTTTCATTAGTCCCGAGCACATACGTACCGGCATCTCGTGCACCGTCGGCGCTCGGCTCCCGTACGTCTGGTTGCTGGTCCTGTACAGGGGGTGAGGCTCCTTTTTTCTGGGGGAGAGACCGTAAAGCGGCATCGTGGAAACCTTGCCAGGGAAAGCACGGGCCGTGCGCGCGTGGAGGGGACGAGCAGGAGCCCTGGTCGGGGAGCTGGGCCCGTCCTCACCGGTAGCCCTGGAAGCACGCCGGGTGGTTGAACCGGGCCGGCAGCTTGTCGCTCACGCGGTAGAAGTCGCTGGTGCGGGGGTCCCGGGGGGGC